ATTGGGAGAAAAAAAAAGGTTTGAGCGTTATGAGGCCCGCAGAGAGCGCTTTCAACGCCTCTAAATTGAATGAGTAACAAAATCTCTCAGGGAGGTGCAAAGGTGAAGCAGATGCACACATGTTCACATGTAAAGGCCTCTGCAATGCGCATGCACGCACGGCAGAAACATTGCACGTTCGGCGCTGCGGAAAAATCCAGAAGAACTTTTGGCACGGTGCTCACATTACTGAATGACATGAGTGAGGAAATGGGGAAAAGGCAAGAGTTTTACATTCAGGTCCACATGTTTGGCACGAACTATTGCCATTTGAGAATACACTCCCATTATGCAGAGTACATCCACGCACGTAGCGTCTTTGAAGGACAATAAATGCACACAGGTACAGTTAGTAGATCGGGACTTTCATCATAAGTTCAGAACGTTCAAGATTAAAATCTCTCCCGCTGTAGATGTGTAAGCGTGCGGTCTCCACGGATCAGTGAAGAGGTTCGCTCTGTGCACATTGGCCCGTCCAACGTGAATACCCCAATACATCAATCCCTCTTCCCCTTTGTATCACTGCCCAGCGGTTGAACAGGGGGTCTTGAACTTGGCCACAATAGAAAGACTTTGAAGGCTTCACGGTTGGACCGAACTACTACCGCAGATTCCAGCAATATTGGGATGGAGAAAGACTACACCCGATAGTATATATGATGAAATATCAAAGTGTGAACACTTGTCTGGCCTTTTCATTACTGACATAAGGACAGATCCACTATTTATTGTATTAGCCACAGTAGCAGCAGAGCTCTCTTCCAGTCAATCCACCAAATCTGTCCATTCTAACATATCAGTTCAGTCTCTTGGATGTTTTTGGACAGGATTCCCACTGACCATGGCGGCCCCCTGACTTTTTAGCGCCACCAGCAGTTCACACTCATAATTGCACTAAGTTTACACTTAGGCTATCGGACAAAATATTCCGACACGAATGGATCGGCGCGACGTTGACAGTCACGGTGGAGTGAAAGCTGCCGATGTATTTGGAAACAAAATTGCATGAATTAAAACAACATCGAAATTGAAATAAAATAAAAGTATTTTCCAGTTTGACAGCTCGAGGTGTTATTTGGACTGAAATGTCTGGCCTCCATAATAGGAGACCCAGACTCCTTACAATCACATGGACTCGTGCGGAAGGTGCCTCAAGTGGGCGGATAATAAATTACCTGCTGAAGAAGAGGGCTGGTGTCTAGATTTATGTTGTGACATTAGCCCGGACGTCATGCATTAAAAGTTAAGACGGACGACCTGCACGGGACACATGTCTCATCAGGAGTACTTCGCTCTAATCGATACACGCTCGGAGTTCTGTTACTCCGAGATGCGATTGTGACGTACCCGCGCGTGGTCGGTTCATGCTTGGCAGTGGCGAGCGCCGACATCCCGTCCCGTGCAGCTGGTGTGCAGCCTCTAGGCAGCCCTGTGCTGTGGGAGGGAAGCTTGGTTTGATTTTATTCCTGGGCAAACCAGGACTTTCACATTCCTGCTTTTCAATTGGAATCAATGTATTTGTTAGTGCCTGGGAGGCTGATATAAATATATGCTTACACATGTGCATTTGGAATAAAAAGGCCCTGGAATAATGACGTTTGAAGTGAGGTGCCGGCTGCCCTCCGGGCAAGCCGGTGTTGTGTTACATGACACTTTCTTCTTTTTTTTTTCTCACCCAATCACTCTCCTTGCTCCATCTTCAAGTGGGAGCTTTCCAAGCTGGAAAGTCCTGCCGCGGTCACATAAATTGTAGTCGGAGCGTTTGCAGGGTTCGGAACGAAAAGGAAGAAGTGTATTGTGGGAAAAGATCAGGTTCAAAGACAAAAAGAGGATCTGCGAAGGGTGAAGCCATAGGGAAGGTCTAAAAACTCCTCTTCGTCACATCTTGGGGGAAAATAGGAAGAACAAAAGAGAGGGAGGAAATTGGAAGCAGAGTAAAGGCAGCTTAGCAGCTCCCATCCAAAAAAGCCAGGAAGAAAGGGGAAGAGAGAGAGAGACTCAAAACAATGCATTAAGTGGCTCAGCGTCGTCCAGGGCGCCGGCTGAAACCCTCATGGAACCAGCCGGGTCAAACGAGTGACATGTCGACGCGCTGAGATCTTTCCTTCGTCAACAAGAAGCCTTGTGACAGCAGGGATCCAGGGTTTTATCAAGACTGCTGATGACCCAAACAGAATTTATAAAGGCTTAAACATGTCTCGCATTCTAGTGGATGGCGTGTCCGTGCGGCTGAGCAGTGCACGAGTCATCAGATTTATAGGAAGTGCTCCACAGTTAGTCTGCAAGAGGGTGATGATTCATGTTCAGAATGGCCTGCAGACGCTCCAGCAGATTTCAGAGCATAGTGTGACCGAAATCAACTTATTCACAACCTACAATCTCCCTTTTATCACAGACAACCGGGTACGTTTTAGCAGACGAGTGCAGAGCCTGTAGATTATGCTGCAACAACTCATGTGATCGTCTTTCTGGGTGCTCAACACAGAGACCCTCACCAACTACCCCCCCTCCCTCCCTCCCTCCCGCTTCATGGGAACACCTTACTCGGGCCGCCTTTAAACACACTTAAAAGAGCGCTGAGCATCCTGCCGCCAAGGGGCTGACGGGAAATCGAGGTCGACCGCATCTCCGGTCAGCCCCTTCCTCACCTGAGACGGCACGTTTCTCCAAAAAGGTCCGACCATCACACACCCTGTCTTTGATTCGGGCCCCGGCTGGCTTTCCTCGAGCACATCGGCAAAACATTAAGACCAAAAAAAAAAAAAAGGAATAGAAGAAAAAAAGGGGAGAAGATAATTGAAACAATGACGGACAAAATAAAGTGGGAAAACTAAGAGGAATGGTGGATGGAAATGGATGGAGTGGAGGTAGAAGAAAGGGATGCGGTATTCAATAAGCCCGGGTCAATACCGGGCTGTGCGCTGGGCTTTACTGTCACAGCGTGCCTTTCAACATTTGTTTCCCATGAAGGACACATGGAAACGTTCAGCTGGCTTAAAGCAGATCGGTGCACGTTGTCTCGGGCCGTAACATTGCTACTTGTTTTTCAGGTCTGGGCTGGTAAACTTTTCTTAAAAACACAGGCAGCTGCAATAAACTTGCTCTGATGATAAACTAAACTAAAACTAAACATAAAGTAAAAAACTGCACATGTGCCGGTGGGAAACAAGCTAGATAAACGGTCCGAGATGTGAGCGATGGGAGTTGTCCTTCTTCCTGGAGTGCACGAGTGTTTTCACATCTACGCGGCAGAGAGAGGAGGGGAGACAACGGCAGATAAAAATAGCATATTCAAAGCAATTCCTTTAGGCCTGAGACGGAGAGTCTTAACTGCACCAACAACAAGAACTTTTACTTCTCTTCGGGGTTTTCCATTCGGGCAACAACACCTGCGGTCTCGCAAAGGGAATCGCAGATGGACAGGTTGAAGTACTTTGTCGTTTAATCATGAGCTGACTTCCCTGTGGACGCAATCATATCCAGACATTTTAGTAGGCCTTTAAAGAAACTGCCTTATTGGGTGTTTGGAAAAAGCTCCTTCCTGTGTGCATTAACACCTGTTCGGTGGTGTAGGTGGTTGTGTTAAATCCGTACCGGGCGTTGGGGCGCATGTGTGTGTGTGTGTGTTTGTGAAGTCAAATACCTGCCGGCATGTGGAAGAGTGATACGGGTCTTCACAAGTGCACAGAAAACCCAGCTGTCCGTCCAACCCCCTTCCGCTTTCCCGCCCTCTTTCTATCCAACGTCCACATCACGGGCCTGCAGGACGCGTCGATATGTGCAGGTAATGTGTTAGCGAGCTCGGCTAATGGCCCACCAGGCGTCCGTTGTCGGGAGGCTTCCACTCTCTATTCTTCGTCCTTTTCTAACTACACCAGACAGGAGTCTGCAGAGGCTTAAGACAGTAAATAATACTTTGCAGCCCTCTGTAATATAAATCACTGCACGTTGTCAACGTCCGTCTAATCAAAAGCCAAAACCAGAGTCCGCGTACTGGTATCGGACATTTGGCTGAACTTTTCAGCTCTTTCCACATTCATAATCCGTAGCGAACCTTTCGTTTATGTTTTCCGGGAGCTTTTACTCCCGTGCAAAATGGGGGAACGTTGGGTCTCCCACAATACCCACTGCAGCCTCGTACTGGGAAAGGGGCTCCCTGCGGCTGGGGAACGCCGTGCACACAGCAGCCTCTGGTGGCTCTATGGAGTATTTTACTTCAAAGAGCCTGAAAACACAGACTGGAAAAGCAGAGATGGATTCGTGTAACAAACAGCTGTAGAATGTGATGGGATGAGCCCCAAGGTTTCCAGCAGATAACCGCCGACAGATTCCTCCAAAAAAACTAAATCCCTGATCCCAGATCTGACAATCTCATCCTCTACAGTCACTGCTTTTAGTAGACTGATTTTGGTACTGATGTAATTCTTCCATTGCACAAACAAAAAAAAGGAAAAACGTGGCTAATGTTCTCATAGTATCTGGACCAGATATCTGCCTCTAGAGCCAGAGTAGGAAGGATTTTTGGACGTGTGCGTGTACCTGCGTGTGCGTGTGTGAATGGCTGCCTGTGTTTTGAGTTATTGACGAGGTGTGCAGTCGGTCTGAACAGGCAGTTCTGTTCGTTACTTCAGAGCGACGTAAAGCCATTCACAGGTGTGACAACCAGACCCCCACCCGACACACACACACACACACACACTCACTCACATCACTTCCACGTCCCCTCAACAAACATAAGAGAAGCATTGAGTCTGTTATTGTTTGCCTTTGCAAAGCGACTGCGGTACTCCAAAGGAAGAAATGCTACCAAAGTACACTGGATCCGAAAGGACAAGGTGGCACAGAGGACACTGTGTGTGTGTGTGTGTGTGTGTGTGCGTGTCCGTGAGACTAGTTGAAATTATTCGTGGAAGCACAACCAGCATGTTTTCAACTCCCTCGACTATCACACACAAAAGAAGTATCGTATTAAATGTCGCTTTTATTTGACATTCCTACCTACATAAATTAACATGCCATATAATTGGCAGAAATAAAGTGTGATTTCTAGAAAAAAAAAAAAAAAAAAGACATAAAGGCCTTCCAGCCATGCGCCACGAAGAAGACAAAAAAAGGAAAGTCTATACACGGCCGAGTGAAAGGACATAATTCTTTTAAGAAACAGGACAGATATTTTGACAATAAAATGAAAAAAAAAAAGTGTCTTTCAGGGTTGTTACGAAACAAATGGTCAGAGGCTTTCTCTTCTTCCCAGCAGGAACATGTCATCCAGGCTCACACATAAACCTTTTTTCTTCAGCTGGCCACAGGTCAGTGCCAGGAGGTTTTTACTGAGATACACCTCTTAATTGTACGTTTTGATTTGCGAGTTCATTCGTCCTCTGACGGCGTTCTCTATGCGACTCGGTCCCCCCGTGAACCAGACACAAGAAATTGCGTGAGGGATCTTTTCGTCTCCATCACTCGTCTCCTGCGGGGAGATTCTCTTCAATCCTCTTGATAAACTTCATGCGTATTTCTGTCACACTGTCCCCCCTCAGAGTGTCCTGAGCGAATCTCACATCCACGGCCATCTGGACCTGAATAAGATAAGAAAAAGCGCTTACATTTGGGGATCCAAACTGGTTTCCCTGGACTACGCTGTTCTGCGATCACCGTGTGAATTGACCTTTATTGTGAGAAACGTACAGCGGATGGACCTTACCATCTCCAGGGCTCCTCTGAGGACGCCGCACAGCAGGCTGGAGTAGACCAGCGTGCTGTGGTTGTCCGGCAGCTCCACAAAGTCCACCAGTGGGTTGTTCTCCAGGATGAGGGAGAACTCGTCTCCCGCTGGGCTCCAGTTTGTCACACTGGGGGTGATTCCCAGGTACATCTTAAATGCGACCTAAAAAACGCCACAGCGCGGTTGGCGGAGAGGATGAAACACGTTACTCGATTGTAAAACAGTAGTGTTTGATGGCACATTAGTTTAGCGGAACATCATATTCACGCGTACCTTCCCCTTTATGTGTCAGCATTAATGCACTAATCAGCATTCGCTAAATCTGCACCGATACAAATATTCACTGCCAGATTATTTTTTTCAACACATTGAAGCGCAGCAGCTTTGCTGTAATTTGTATTCTTAAGCTGGATCAAGGGAATATATTAGTTAATCAAACCATAGATTCGTTGGTGGGATTAAGCTTTGGTGGTGTTGAAGAAAATGTATTTTTGAACCAAAAGAATGATACATTTCACTGTAACGGATTCATGGTAAGGCTCGAGGTCACAGGATATCCCATATCAGATTAGGTTATCAATGCACCCTCTAAGGACGCCAACCGCCCCCCCCTCTTTGTGACCAAGAGCCGGTCCACTGAGCAAATATGATTTAGTATCGAAAAAATAAAAGATAAGATTGAGAAGAACACAGAGGAAAATTTAAGTACAACGTATCACAAGAGCAATCTGATCACCCAGCTGCTTCAGTAAACAACAGGACTACTGGTGGTGTTTCAGTGCAGCAGAGTGGGGGAATCAGTGTGTGTGTGTGTGTGTGTGCGCGCGCATCGCCTCTTTGGAGGGATCACATTACATACAAAACCCAATCGAATCCTCGCCTTCTAGACATCAACGTTACTATCAGGGAACGCAAAGAAGTGCAATCTTGGTCTCGACTGACTGAGGTTTTTCCCTCCCACCTCTCCCGAACCTTCTTCTTTCCGTCATGAATACTTTAGAGGCTTTTTCAACATCACTCTCTTTAATCCTTCTTTGTCTGTCATCCATCCATCCCTCCCTCCCTCTGTCCGTCTTTGGGAGACATCCACGGTCACTCTCTGATTGGCCCGGAAATGTCCAATTACCTTAGCAATGACATCTGCCGTTTCTCGGAAATCCTGACACCTGCCGATGCTGGAGCGTGCCAGGAAATCCTCAATCAGGCGCACGCCAATGTTATAGCCCCTAGGAAAGAGAAGGAGACAGAGAGAGACATTAGCGAGGGAGGAAAAAATGCAGTGCGTCGTACAGAGTCATTTTTGTGTCATACACTTGGCAAATTATAATAATAATGGTCATGGTGCCAAGTCGACTTATCCTTCAGAATCTCAAACCAGCTTATTCTCCCTGATCCCAACGCGGTCTGGCTCGGACTACGACCGCCTTCTAAGGCCAAGCAAGACAAGGCTCATCGCGATGTTCGCCTTGAGAGAGCTTAAGGTTGCTTCACAACCAGGCAAGCGAAGAAAATCCGGTCCAAAGTCCCGTCAGTGGAACAGGATGTTTTGAATTTTTCAGTTATAAACCCATTATTTCTTAATCCTATTACTGTGGGAGAATATTATCCAATGTTGCCTTCCAGAGATTTTCTCTCCTCCATAAAAACACATCGGTGTTCTCTTTTATTGGAACACCCTGTTCCAGGAAGGTAGAAGAGACAGAGAAGTGTGAGAAATAAAACAGGATTATTATTATTAGTAGTATTATTATATCATCTCTCTGCTGTAGTTTGTCTCTGCCTGGAGTATATTATGGACAGAGCAGAGCGGAATGTGTCAAAGCAGTTTTAAAGGAGGACGTATCTTTGTATCTTGCATTGGTTTTCTAAGCAAATGATAAACTTCAACATGTTATACAAAATAACTCCTATATATTTAAATGCAAAAGGCCTACTATCAAGCTAATGCAGTTAAAGTCAAAGTCAAGTCAAAGTAGCTTTATTGTCAATTTCCTGCATGTCAGACATACAAGGAATCTATAAAAACGTTTCCCACTCTCCCACGGTGAAACATATAAACAGATAAGATAAGACAGACATTTAGATACGTATAGATATACATACAGATACACGTACAGCAGCATAAGTTTTTCTTTAAAGTGAGGTTATGGTAGTGCAAAAGTAGTAGCTAGTTACTACTATTGGGCCAGTTCGTGTGACACAGGTGGACTTGATCTAGGTAATTATTCAACTTCATTTCACAAAAAAGGACTATTTGAATTACAGGTTGCAAAGCAAGAAAATAGTAAAAACTCCCAAGCTGGTTAGTACCGTTGCAAGCCCCTGTACCTCTCTTTAATATTTGCATAAATATCTCAACAATACTTAGATCGCTTTGATATAACATCAACATTGTGACATTTGCATATGCAGTCGATGTTAGTTCATCTGTTGCACATTTAAAGGGTTGTTTTTGGCTGATATTAATATATGAAATAAAAAAAACATGGGATAATAACTGATACGTGGTGATAAATAAAGGATCCATGCAGTGTTATGATACCAAAATTGAATGCTATGAAATAATGATATGAGTCATTTGTTTGTTTACTTCAAGCACGGCAGTCTAAAGAAACTAGCTTGATTACCGTAGTTTGGTGTGAACATGATGAGCGGCGATCGGGTCAATGGGGATACTTACATCTTATCCAGTTGTTTATTGACCTCCTCGTCGTTCTCGTAGTCTTTACAGAGCTGGGTGACCAGGGCCCCGTAAGTCAGCGTGAACAGTTCAGAGTTCTACAGCAGAGAAAACAAACTTCCCATGTTAGTGATGCTGGGAATGATTTCATGCTCAAAAAATAGTGAAACACGCATGAAGGAAAACTACCTGGCTACTCCTGCAAAAGACCAATAATTCACATGCACATCTACAGTGAAATGACGAACAGAGAATGAGCAAACCATGCAGAAAGAGTATTAAGACCAGTCTCTTTGATTCTTATCCATATCCATATGCATATTATATATATATATATATATATATATATATATATATATATATATATATATATATATATATATCATAAGCCTCCTTAAACCTCTTAAGTTTCTCTGCAGCATGAAGATGGACAGATCATGCTTTGGACAGTTCCTGGTGCTGAAATGAAATCTAACAGTAATCTACGAAAAACATTTTAATAATAAACAATAAACACACTTTGTATATCATTTGTAATGGATACATCATGACTACATTTAGTATTCACTGCAGCATTAACGTTGAAACTGTAAAGCATCCCCCTTTTAACAGTGCCAAAACTAACTGACCCAACAGCAAATGATGACGTTACTTACTGTTATTATTGCACACTATGGGACTTCCTTTAGAAGGTTATCGTAAGTAGGGAACGGGCTAGGACGGGACCATGGTTCAGCTAACGCTACGTTGCCTTACTATTTAGCATGTGTGCTACAAGGAAATAACTACACATTTTATCGAAACCAGTGTTATTCAACTATGACCTAAACACTTATTTAGTAAACTGATTTAAAAGCATATACGGTTTGCATGTCTCCTGTCACACCTGTCAAACATATATACATGAATGAAGACTCGCACCGGTACCGCGTAGCCAGTTGTCAGGTTAGCTAGGCGGCTACGTTTAGCATTTTGCTAGCTAAGCTAGCTAACGTCAGGTCTGTTTGCTTTTAATCCCGCGGGAGTCGCCTACCATCTTCTTGCTGTCTGTTGTTCGGTTGGATTGCCTGGACATTGTGGACAGTGTTAGAGGCTTTAGACTCGATATTAATCCTTTATTTATTTTATTCTGGCTTGGCAGTTATTTCCGCAATCACCAGTCACAGACGTCCACAAACGTCAAGCTCGTCACATTAAATACTACATTTCCGGTCATACTCTAAATGTTTTAATTTGGAACAATAGACACATAACGCATATATATGATTTAAGAACACGTATTTGAGTAAAATAACATGTATTAAATGAAAGTCGTTGTTGTTTTCATCATTTCCTTTAATAAAGGGATCAGTCGTTTCTAATCTAACGCATTACATACTTTATTTTGAAGACAAAGTCGTTTCATTTCCGGTTTTTCTGGTAACGTTACCAGCTTTCATGTCCTCTCCTATCAGCTGTCACACCAACATTTCCTCGGCTGTTTCCCTGTCGGGAGGTCGCGCTATCGCCGCCTTTCGTCTTGGAGCCGAATAGCGGCCCACGAGGGAGACGAAACACTCCTCACGGTTGACCACTAGGTGGGGGCACACGTAGTAATTTCACATTAAGATAAACTAACCACTTGTCATTTCTGTATTTTTACAATATTTTAGAAATATGGCCCAGGTTTGAAAAATGTTTTAAAGAAACTGAAACATATGACTTTTCACAAAATAGCTTTATTTTGATACAAATCTATCACAGCATGTGTGTGAGAGTGAGAGAGCGAGAGAGAGAGAGAGAGAGAGAGAGAGAGAGAGAGAGAGAGAGAGAGAGAGAGAGAGAGAGAGAGAGAGAGAGAGAGGGGAGTCACTACAGCTCATTGATGGCTTACAGATGCGCCTTCGCGTCGACCTTTCATTCGCCTCCATTCATTCCGGCTCTGCATTCACGGTGCCTTTCCTCCACGTGACGTCCCGCCTGCTGCCAGTGTCTCCCGCAGAACCCGCGTCCTCCGTCGGCCGGGAGACGGTCGTCCCCATCCCGTTGAAACAAACTCGCCCTGCCGCGGCGAAGAGGGACGAGGGACCCGGCAGCATCGGCTTTTATTTTGTCAAATAAACGACTAATTGACAAAAAAAGCCGGTACGAGCCCCGCGGGGTGGGAGGCTGAGGGGGGGGGCGCAGGGAGGGGGGGGGGTTGTCTAGCCGGCGGGAGGTGGACCAGTGCGATGATGCCGGGCAGATCTGTGAAGGACGTGGACAGGTACCAGGCTGTCCTCACCTCTTTGCTGGCGCTGGAGGAGAATAAATACTGCGCCGATTGCGAGTCCAAAGGTAGGTCGCTATCGACGCCTGTAGTTGCCTCCGCTGATCCGGGGGTCAGTGCGTGAGTCGGCCGCCCCGCTCGTTCACTACACGCCGGATAATGCGGCGTTGCACTGCGGTGCAAGACGCGCGTCCCTACTCGGCTGGAGCGCGGCATGCTGCCACATCACCCAGGTCCCTCGAAGTAATAGGACGGGATATCTACAGCAACAATAGACGCATATTTTATTAGACATAGCTGTCATGGAAGAGGGTTTTTTGGGGGGGGATAATGTTGGAGAACTTTCTTCCATGATGGATGAGTAAATGAGATCTTAAGTGGGACAGTTTGGGACCCCTTAACCTTCATGAATAGATACAGCAGACATCAAGATAGGCGCATCAGGAATGACTTTGAGTCACCCTGAACAGTTTGTTCCTGCAGTCCGAGTGCAGACGGGGAAGCCTTTTCAAAAGGGCAAGTAACAGTAATCAAATCTGAAAAATTGGAATTATCGGAAGGCGCTGTAACATCCCCAGTGCTTCCCCTGTGTGGCATTCGTTTTCTCTTAAATCACCACGGACAGACAGTCTTCTGTGTGCGTCCGTGCGTCCGTGCGCTGCCCCCTTCACTCCATCTGCAGATCCGACGAGGCTCCGGACGGTGTGACCACCGGCCTTTTTGCTTAACCCGCTTTGCTCTCCTCCATCAACAAAAAAAGGAAATGATCTGTGAATGTAAATACACAACCAGCGGCTTCCACTGAGCTCACCTCGGTCATAAATCCTCAAGTGGAGGCCCTGGATGCATCACTGCCGGGTGTAAAGCAGGGAGGATGGGGTGACAGACAGGGGGGGAGCACCCTTGGGATTCCTCCTGAAAACTTTATGAACGACACCAGTAAGCAGCGCCGCGTATTCAAAGGGCATTGAGCTGCATTCTGCCCTGCAGGTTCAAACCCGTGTTTGGTTCTTCGACGGACTTAAAGGTGGGGACAAACAACAGCAGAGAAACCAGAGTTAGAAATCAATAAGGCCTGGGAAGCTTTTCTCCCTGGATGTGTTTGCCAGGCTGCCTCATTACGGTGGGGGGGGACATTTACAATGTTTGGGATAAAGACAAGCGTGCGGCGTGTGCTCGTAGTTCATTTGGGCCGACGTCCCTGTCCGGTTTGTTTGTTCGGTTATCCCTCTTTATACTTTGTACTTAATCTCTGTGTGCCTCATCGACAGGGTCTGCAACTGTCGATCTCTTTCGGGAAGCTGCCGAATGCAGACACAGAGCTGGAGTGTAAGACATATTTCACAAGGAGCACTAAGCGAGCAAGTCTGTCAATAGAGGATATTGATTAACCTCAACTAAACTCGCTCTCAGATAGAAAGTTCGGGTGGTGCATTGCAAACCCGACCAGTGATCTGAGTAGGAAATTAAAAAAAATGATGCTTTGATCCGTTTTTGTTTTTCAGTTTCCTTGCTCAACACAAAATCAAAGCTCTCCATTCTAAGTGAAATGTTTTCATCTAATCTCGTCTCGGTCACACGTATGTGATGCTGTGACTGTTCAGAAGTCATTTTTGAAAAAGCACCCTGTGATCAGACTCGTGGAGCTCATCTGAGGACTAGACCGCCGTCACAATACACCGATTATATAAATGATGAGGCCTTGTTTGTGCGTTTGTGAAGTGGTGGACTATTCCTGTCCAAATTAGGTGCACGTGGAGAGACGGATTTGGATCTTTTTGGTTCTATTGTTGTTGTCTTTGATTTGCTATCTGCCGCATATCGCTTCCCAACCGCCCTTTTCTCTCTTTTCTTTCGCATTCTGCTTGATGTTTGTCCGTAATGGATCGGCGCCAGTTCACTGTGCAACAGACTGGCCTAATTAGACTGCAGATGAGATTATGGGTTAAGGGAGAAAATAGCAACCACACACACACACATACCAACACCAGTCCCAGCCGAAGCTCCAGCTGTACTCCGAAGAACATCGGCATTTCTTCGTATCATTCAATGGTCTCTAACTATGAAGCAACGTGTGACTTCCATCAGCTGAGCGGAATTAAACCACGCTGAAGGAAAGGTTACACATCACTTTCATTCCCCAATTGTATTTTTATTCATGATCTTGGAGCATTCGGCCTCCTACCATCAAAGTGGTGCATTATGTTTGTTTTAAACCGCATGCCCCCCCCCTACCCACCTGCCCCCCCTCCCGTCTCAAGTCAGGCTTTTCACCATATGGCTTGTGATGAGGTTCCGTCTAATCTTGTTTGCCTGCACATAGATTGCTGCACGTTTATCACCCCCCCCCCCTCCCCCCTCCCCCCTCCGGGTGATTGAACAGGAAGTGGTGAGACTTGTGGAGCCAAGTGCAGGTTTACATCAACACACAGAAACACATTAACGATGCTATTAGGTCGTCCATTTCAACAGCGTGCTTACCGTACACACGCTGCACCAATGAAATAATCGCTCCACTTTTTGCAACTTCCTGTGTAAATCTTTCGTCTGTGCCAAACTGGCTTACCGCTTCTGTTTTTTTTGTTTTTTAATGACTTCCTCCCTCTGTGAGACTGTGAATCCTCAACACGGCCACGAAATAACGAATAGATGAGCCAGAGAGAAGGTGATGCGGGTGCATAACGCAGTCAACACTCCTCTGGCTTCAGTCTCAAGAGGCTGCACACATACACGCGTGTGTGTGTGTGTGTGTGTGTGTGTGTGTGTGTGTGTGTGTGTGTGTGTGTGTGTGTGTGTTTGCGTAAAAGCCGCCCTCCATTATTGTCACTGTTGTACTTGTGTTTACGTACACACGGGTTGCCGTGGAGATATATCACCTGATGTCATGCCTTTTCCCTTCACCTCCACTTAGCCTCCGTCCCCTTACGCCCCTCTGGCCCCTCAGCCAATCAGACGCCAGCAGGGACGTCCTTTGAAACGAGGATGGTGACGGCATTGAGTTCAGAGAGAAGGCGTCAGACGAAGGCCTTGAAGAAAGGGAAACGTAGTAGGACCCGATCAGGGTCTCGATTGTGTGATTTGATGTTCAAACTAAGTTACAAATTAATCAAAAAAACACACAGAAACTGCCACATGCTGTAGAACTGTATGTACCAGAAAAACACACAAGTGAAAAAGGAAAAGCCAGTTGCCTGGCTGGATCACAGTCCAGGAAATGGGCAGATTACAAGGAACCGTGTGTTTGATTGTTCTCTAACATTACACAAATAACCCCAGAGAGTACAAACAATAATACCAGTAATAGGATGAATGTAAGCATCAAAAAATGCATTATGAGAACCAATAGCTTGCAGTGATGGAGAGTGTTACCCATCTTTTGACAACCCCCACGACTCACCTGCGGAATCACAGTGGCGACACTCACACAGCATCACAAATGGTGGGTGTTCATAAGTAAATTATCAACACGGGTCCATCTGCTTGCCTCAGACAGGGACCGGGTCACGGGAGGGCCTCTGGGTTTCTGGATTGCTTTAGATGCCGAGGGGCTCGAGGCCGGGACAGGTGTGTCTATACGTGAGTGTGCGTTTGTGTGTCGCTGTCGGTGTGTTTAGTATCCACTGGTGAGTGAGGCTCTTTGGGATTAACTGCATGCAGAAAGCAACATTTATCCTTGTGGGATACCAGCTGATTTATGCACCTAGTTTGTGAGTGTGGATCAATATCTTCTTGTGTGCCGTGTGCACTTACAGGCGTGTCAGGAAAGCGCCCCATGTAAATACCATGTTATTGTATGTGATTCAATGGCAACCTCGAAGGTGAATGGAGTTTAACATTTTTTACAGGAAAGGATCGAAGTTAGTGGTGTGGGAGAAGCTGAATGTGAGGAACTGGGAAATGAAAGTGTGTTGAATGGGTGTGGGGGTGAGTGACAGAGCGGTTCATCATAGATCTCTGTTGGCACCTGCTCGCTGCTCGTCACACCCCCTGTGCTGTAAATCCCAGCATGCCATACTGCTCTACCGTTCTCCACCATTATAAAAATCTCCTCTTGTTTGTCTCGGTTTTTGGCTCTCGCCCCAGCTCTGCCTTCTCCTCCCCTGATGTGCTTCAAGCTGCATTTTTAACAACCACAACCACATTCGTTTTTTGCCAGGATGATTCATCCAGCTCGTATTCAAAACCTCTACTTTGAGGTTGTCTTGCCCCATAAAAAATGGATTTTTCCATTTAGTCAAACCTCCATTGTACCTCAAAAGAAGGTGTTGGGATTTGTTCGTTGGTTACCAAAAAGGAATTAGGCCGTCTATCTGCAATGCACGCTGCGATCCAAACCCGGTTGGCTACACTAAGACTTTGATTCGTAGAGGTTTCTCGTTCAACTTTCCTTTCTTTTCCACAAGTCTTTTCCTCCTACTCGCTCTCTTCTATATCTGTTCAAAGCACCTGGAGGTGTGCGTTGTTGCTGGATGGACGTGCTGTACGCGGGTTCTTACCAAAGCACTGCATTGATTGGAACCAGGCGAAAGTGGTGCAGTGTGTGGATGGGATTTACTTTTAATAACCAACCTTCAACTCCCTTTCCTCTTTCTCGGCTCGGCCCCTCGGCACCCTCCTGGACGAACCCCAGCGCCTGCAAACATTCATAATGACCCGTGGAAAGCAGATGAGACCTACGCTCACACCACTGGACACATGGACAAATACGCTTTGGAAAGAAAACAAGCTTCATACTAATTAGCTAAAGAACAGCTCGTGACGTTATGGAAGTCCATCACATAGTTGTTGAGCTGTCGGGCCTGGCTGGAAAGAGATAAAAAGTCAATACTATAGGCAGCAGCAAAGAGTAAGGCAGCGTTTAGGGGGCAAAGCCCCAGCAAGTGAGGGTGGAGAGCGATGCAGAGGGGGGCGAATTAGATCTGTGAGTTGGAGATATGGACGGACGGAGGGAGGGGAGGGGAGGGATGGGAGGAGACGGGGGGTGAATGAGAGAGATAAGTGATGGCAGCCGGGACACAGAGGAGCCTGAGAATAAAGATGAGAAGTCCACCGCTGATGGGAGTCCTTTACCCGATGGACAACGTCTCTCTCTTTCTCTCTGTCGGTGCCAACGTTTACAGCTGTTAAGCCGGGTTTGCAAAGATATTTCTTTTATATTTAGCGGGGGTGACAGCAAGCGCGGGGGCTGGAAGGAGCAGGGTAAAGGATTGTTTCCGGGCCCCTTGGGGGTGTTCATTTGTTTTGCCCCCCCCCCCCCCCCCCCCCATTGATGTCTTTCAGTCTCATAATTGTACAACGCGGCAGGCAAACTGCAGCCCAGAAATATATACAGATGCAGATTCAAATGATGCGAGAAGAATGACCCCATTTTAGCATTCATAGTTCAGGACACCCGATACGGAGGACTGATATTTGACTCTGCTGCCTGACACTGTGTTTCCGCAGCTCTGGTAAGGGGGGAGGGCTTTTATGTTTTCTCTTCTTCCTTTTATTTGCATAGAATGGCCTTTCCTCAACAGCGCACCGTGGCTTTAACAACAATAACAGTAACACATTCGTTTTTTATTTATTGGTACCCAAAGACGCTTTACTGTGTAAATCTGATAAAGGGAAACGTACAGATAAGAAAAATAAAAAATAAAAAATAAAATGCATTTAATTAAAAAAATGGAAACCGGAGAATGAGTCATGTAGGGGTCAGCGTTTCATGGCGAGTTTGAAGAGGTGTGTTTTGAGGGCTTGTTTAATGATGATGCGGTGGGAGCCTGGCGGATTTGGGATGGGGAGGTCGATCCAGAGGGGAGGTGCAGCAGCTGAGAAGGACCTGCTATTGGCGGACCTGAGGCAACGGCTTGGGGGCCTGGAGGGGGGAGGAGGTCAGAGAGGCGGGAAGGGGCCAGGTTGTTCAGGGCTTTGCAGGTGATGAGTAGTATTTCAAAGTCTATCCGGTATTTCACCGGAAGCCAGTGGAGGTTGCAGAGGACCGGCGTGCGGATGTGTTCACAGCGGCGGTGGATGTGAGTTCTGAACATATTTCAGTTTGTTGAGGGTTTTTTGGGAGAGGATCTTGTTGCAGTAGTCGAGTCTGGAGGTTATGAGGGCATGAATGAGAACTTCGGTGGCGGCGGAGGAGAGGCAAGATTTGAGCCGTTCAATGTTCCTGAAGTGTAAGAAGGCAGTTGGTGATGTGGTTGGCAATGGGGTGTGAAAGAAAGGGTGGGGTCGAGGATGATACCGAGGTTTGCGGAGCAGGCTGGAGGCCAGTGACAAATCCAAATCAGAGCCGCTCTTCCATCTAGTGGTGTGAAGGCTGCAGTGCATCAACCCTTTAAGGCAGGGAGTCACAGCGGAGATGAGTGCAGAGGCCGAGGTTGGCAGGGGGTCGAGGCAGAAAGAGAGGAGGAGGAGGTGGAGGAGGGGCAAGAAGAGAGGAAGATGCTGGAAGAGATGGGGAGCAAAGCACCAGTATTCTCTTTGAAGCCGCCTGTATCCTCTGACGAGGACAGTCGCATCGCTCTCAGCACAAAAGCTGCTGCAATGTAACCATTGACATAGACATGGCAGCAAGATGGACGAAATGGTCCACTGAGCAAAGACATGCACCCACCAACACACACACACACACACACACACAGGCTCATGAGTAATGCTCCCTGCAGGTATCCAGAGTGTGTGTTTGTGTTACTTTCCACTCCCCCTCCCTCCTCTCAGTCTCAGTTATCTGGGCTAACTCTCCTATTGGATCCCATTATATGTCAGGACCTCGCACGACTTACACTGGATTAGTTGAGTTCCCAGCTGAATTAAAACTCCTAATTTAATTCCAGGCTTGTCTCTCTATAATTGGACTGAAATTAATCAGAGCTGTTCCTCATCATTCATCTCCCAATTGTGCTCGCCTGCTCACTCTACATGTCTGTTATACTTCTAGTGTTTCTATTAGCCCACTTACTCAATACCCCCCCCAACACCCCCAGCTCTGCTCCAGCATTTATACAATACCGTCCTCTCTGTACCAGGTCCAAGATGGGCGTCCTGGAATTTGGGCATCTTCGTCTGCATCCGCTGTGCTGGTATCCATCGCAACCTGGGGGTCCACATCTCCAAGGTCAAGTCCGTCAATCTGGACCAGTGGACACAGGAGCAGGTCCAGGTCAGAGGTCAAACAATCGAAACATTAGAGTTTAGACTTTGACTGTGGTAGTTTTTAGGTAAGATATAGTTAAAGTTAGTTATATTGGAGAACCCAGGCCAGATTTTACTTCTCTTTTCCTTTAAACTCTAAATGTGTTTCTTTCTTGTATCAACATATCTCATTCCTTCCACATTTATATGTGTGTTCACACGCAGTAGTGGAAGTGGAGACTTTCTCATCTGTATGCACTGTATAGTTTTTGGGCAGGACAGTCAGCATTGTGCGTCAATGATAAAAATGATAATTTTCCTCAAGTCAGCATCTTCGCTCTTCTCTTTCCTGAATGCTTAACAATGTGACGTTGTTTGTCGTGTCTCGACGTCTCCAGTGTGTTCAGGAGATGGGAAATGCCAAAGCCAGACGTCTCTACGAGGCTTTCCTACCCAAGTGCTTTCAGCGGCCCGAGACGGACCAGTCGGCGGAGAGCTTCATCAGGGACAAGTACGACAAGAAGAAGTACATGGACAAGGTCATTGACATCCAGATGCTGAGGGTGAGTACAAACCTTTGCCTCAGCGGAAACAAAAAAATGCTATTGTTTTGCCTCTTTTCATCCACTGCCTGTCGTGATATTCTAGAGCATTCTACCTGTTTTATCTGTACAGAAAGAAAAGAGCTGTGACAACATACCCAAGGAACCTGTTGTGTCCGGGAAAATGAAATTGGTGAGTATCCGGATCACAGCATAACGGAGAACCGGTCTTTTCTCGCATTGAGCCGATTCTCGTATGCAGAGTAAGTGAGTGGTTGAGCTAGGAGAGGTGGCATAGGAGCTGAGGAAAGAGGAGACAGGGTGTCGGTCAGTGAGGAGAAGGTAACACAGGAGAGGGTACATTTTGAAGCTTGTGAAAACTGGGAGTAGCTATTCTGACCGGACCGGGAAGGTCATTTCAACACCAGTCAGGAGTTAAAAGATTCTCGATTTAAGCTCATTTGTCAACGCAGACATGAATTTAAATTGGCTTTCTCCATTGTGACAGAAAAAAGACATCAGCCCAAAGACAGATCCCCAGTCTGTTACAGACCTGCTTGGATTAGGTATTGCAACTCACACACACACACGTGCACACTTGCACACCCATTTACAGCATAGAGGGAAGACAAAGAAATAGCAAGAGAAATAGACGAGTTTGTACTTGAACCACAAAATCGTTTTAAATAATCACACTTGCTTCCATCTGCCCGCCATTAGATGCCCCGGCTCCAAGTGTGTCGGTGTCTAATGGCGGAGGATGTGTTCCAGACAGTAATGAGAGCCCGGCGGTGTCCGATCCAGCTCTGGCGCACTCTGCACTGGATCTCTTCAGCACTCTGCCGGGAGCCTCCTCTGCCTCCTCCATTAAAACCACGGTAACGCCCTGCGAATGCCACACGCCGCTCTGCGCCGCACGGGGGCCTCGTGTCTGTAGCCGCGCCGTGACAAATACAGTTTCACTGTGCACGTGTCCGAATGTCAAAGACAGCTGACTCTTTTAAATATGTCTATCTAAGTACAATTGTCGATTTTGTCACCCCTGCTTGCATCCTTCCTCTGTTGACAAACACCGTCTCCTGCCTTCACTCCGTCTCTCTATCCCCCCCCCGATTCCCCCTACCGCTCCAGCCGGTTTCTAGCTGCATGCCTCACAGCAGAGTGACTGCCTCGGTGCCGGACAACCTCAGTCTGTTCCTGCGTTCGGCCCCCAAAGCAGAGAAGGGCAAGAAGATGTCCAAGGACTCCATTCTCTCCCTGTACGCCTCCACCCCCTCAGTCCACGCCAGCAGTATGCCGACTCACGGTGAGGCAAACCTTCTTTCTTAATCTTTATTTATTGAGTTGGTTGGTTTCCTCAAAGAGACAATCGCATCTATATTGTTAATACCTTACCAATTGCCAAAATGATTTTTTTTTTGGCAGGCTTGTACATGAACCAAATGGGATACCCAACACACCCGTACGGATCGTACCATTGTTTGGCCCAGGCCGGCGGAATGGGAGGTGCCACGATGATGTCCCAGATGGCCATGATGGGACAGCAACAGAGCGGCGTGACTCGTGTCCAACAGAAGGTCGCGATGGGACAGCAAGGTGTCACGGCTCAGCCGAGCGGCGCCATGGCGCCCCCCTACATGGCGGGCATGAGCCAGGGCGTGATGGGACAGCCGCAGAGCGGAATGATGGTACAGCAGCAGAATGGCACCATGGGGCGGCCGCAACAGAGCGGGATGATTGCGCAGCAGCAGGTGGGAGGTTTACCTCAGCAGCAGAGTTACGCAGTGCAAAACGCCCAGCAGCTACAGTGGAACATCCCCCAGGTAGGTGTGTGTGTGTGTGTGTGTGTGTGTGTGTGTGTGTGATTTGGACGGGATGAATCTGGGTAGTTAAAGTTCCGTTCAAAACAAAACGTGTTTTGTGTCGTTTCAGATGACTCAACACATGGCCGGCGTCAACCTCCACAACGGCGTGACGGGATACAGCGGGCAGCAAACGGGGGCCTCGGCAACTTCAAACTCAGAGCACATGACCGCACACGTTTGGAAGTGATCGGATCCATCCGGGAGGAGACGTGATGACCCAGAAAACAGAGGCAAACTGAGTTGAAGGAATCGGTGGATTGGACTCCCCAATCCTGTTTTTTAATGCAAGGGAGGAGGAAGAGGAGGAGGAGACAGGGGTGAAGAGGAACATGGTACTACTACTACTACTACTACCTCTCTTTCTCTCTCCTCTCTGACCATGCTTCCTCTTCTACATCCATGGCAGAATTTCCATGCTTGCCTTCCGAAACACTGACCAACGTATGATGACCAACGCAACAGGGTTCAGAGGCTCACTGCTTGACGTAACAGAACAGTTGGTTTTTGATCAGAATCAGCATAAATGTTAGGAAATGGTCTGTGAATTTGGGCATTTATTGGAACAAGATGTGTTTCCCCCAAAAGATGGAAACATAACTTAGAAACATGGCTTAATTGTCCTTTTCGCCGACAGTTGGATGAAAAGTTTGATGCGATACCACCATTAACTCTCTACAGCAGACGGTTAGCTTAGCATTAGCATTCAGACTGAGAGACCAGACGAAGAACTGGACCGACTCCGATGGAAGATTTCGACAGTTTTCAGATGGAATTATATGTGAGTTGATGAAAAGTCGGCTTTAGATACGCTCAAAGCAGGATGTGAGCGTGACAAGTCTTTGCGCTAAGCTGTCCGTCTGCTGGCATCGGCTCCATACGTATCGAGGAGGATCAAGCCAGGCTACGCTATGCTCGCCACACCTTTAAGTTAAAGGTATTACTGAATAAGATTAGCTCTGCATAAATAGGGAAAATGTGTTAAATTGTACAAAACACAATATTCTAAATACTTAACAACTTACAACCATATTAAAAAGGTAAGAAATCTCTTTTTGTGTAAAGTACCTTGTTCCTCAGTTCAAGCAGCGACACAACCTACCTAAACAGCCTGTATTTATGATGTCTTCTACCCAACCAACACAGGGCTTCTTTTAGAAATCAACACATAATCTCCACTTTTAAGTGTCTAAAATCCTAAACTGGATTTGGGAGACCAAAGATCAACGCTAGCTTTATTACGGTTGTACAGCATTCCGATGCTTTGTTGCATCTGTGCGGCCGCTCAACTAGTGATTAGTATAACTTTCAACTCAGCGGCCCTTTAAAAGTACGTTTGGTCGGTCTGGGCTCATCGGTTCACTGTGCTACCTCCTCAGCAAGAGCGGGACACTTCAGAATAAGGTCACTCGCATGTATGTTTGTCTACCTTGTACAATAGAGGCCTCAAATAACGCTGAATGTCTATGAGAAAGAAAGGAATACAGAGAGAGGGGTGTGTACAGAGGCACAGGACAACTGAAAGTACAGAGCCGCCATGTTTCAGATTCTTCCACTGAATTGCATGAAGAGAATGTTTATCTAGCTCCGATTGTACGTACTGTGTTAATTGAGGTATCTGAACGGGTCTCTATGAACGTTTCTCTCTACCCAGTTGACCCAGCTCTCCCATTCCGACCGGCATCGACTCAACGAATGTTATTCCCGAATGTGTTTCATGACCATCGGACTCGTTTTTCACACCAGGGGTGCGTTTTCTCTTTTTGATATTCTACCGCCGCGTTGAGCACTGGGGTCTTTGGAATTGTGTGCGATCAGCAGAACCGTAGTTCAACCATAAGTGAATAATCATTTAAAAACATCTAAATTAACCCCTGGACGCCGCTCCCTTCCAAACAAGCAGCAACCTCTGTATCCCAACCTCTTTAAAAAGCTTTTTTTTTTTAATCAATTTTTCTAAATGCATGGCACCATTAGTGTGAACTATTTTAGTTTTAAGCAGTTACTGATTGTGTTGCGAGATGAACGATTCATACTAAATGCTAATGCTAATGCTACCAATGAGCAGTAAAGCCTTCCAGGTTTTTTTTTTTTTACATTGTAGTTCATTTGGTGTCATTTTCTCTGCTGAGAGACAGTGTGTCGTCTTTGCAGCAGTGGAGAGTTTTTTGAAGCAGTGTGAATCCATCTCTGTGGCCGATGATCCTCTTTTAAGTTTGCTTGTACCCGGTCCCTTTTTTTTGTCTGGTATATTTTCTGTGAAATAACAGCAATTGAAGGAATGTATATTTTGTATGTACTTGTCAATCAAGATGTTGTGTATTTTATTCTTCATCAGAATGTCTCAGTCACATCTAGTTTGGCTCTTAAGAAAGATTGATGAACATGTGCCGTTTTGTTAATTCTGCATTCTTTTCCACGTGCTTTGCAGCTTTTGATGTTACATCTACACGAGTCAGTCAATTACGTTTGAGAATATGTAACACATGGTACTTGTCTCTGTGAAAATATACAAAATAAATAGCGCTTTGATTCAATTCAGTATATTCTGTCTTTAAGTGTTCGTATCGCGATGGCTATTTGAGTCGGGCTTATGGATTCATTAAGGCGGAAAAATGTTTGAAATATACACACCGACAAATGTTTGTGATTCAAATAAACTTTATTGACTTAACGTCCAGATGTCAAAGGGCATGCAAATACAGGCTTCTGAATCCGAAATTGTTCTTTTTTTTTTTTTCCTCAGTTTGGTTCAATTTTCTTACAAAACTACGTGCACCGTAAGTTTATCAATTCTGCAGCGTACAAACCACAAAAATACCAGTTTTACATTATCAAATACTGCACATAGAAAACATTTACAAAGCACAGGTATAAAATTACAGCTCCCTTTTTTTCCTCTTTGTGAGCATCATTTCATCATATAGTCTGCCAGGCTTCGCCCTTCTGCACAAACATTCCTGCCAAAACCAGCAATCCAACCTCACAGAGCTTTTGTTTCACCCGATGCTTCGGTCCTTCGGGTCGGGGAAGGGGGGGGGGGACTGACAGCGGCCTTAATATAGTTTGACGGACAGCTAAAAAGGAGAAAATGGATACTGAGGAGACTTGTGCTGTGATTACCCGACATTTATAGACGTGGACGGAGACAAACATGCCTCTTTTGAGCATCAGCTCAGCAGTGTTGTTGGTAAACAGACATTCGGAACGCATGCTCCTTCAGAAAAATGAAAATCAACACCAAAAACTCCTAAACAAAACGGTGTTGCTCACAGGGGGGGGGGGGGGGGCGATCATAAAATAGCTGTTCACAATGCATCACATGCTCTCACATCAAGTGCTTCTAAATGGGACTTTTACTTTAAATGTTATTCGTCGTCTCCACACAGTTTGACTCTAAATAGCCAGAGGTCACTGCCGCAAGTATTTCAGAAAGTGGAAGGTTAGAAATGCTACTTTAAGATGTTTGCATCTCAATGACTTTCCGTCGACGTTGTTTCTCGGGTCCAACTGACTTCACGACGCGTCATTGTCATGATTATTATGGTGGCAGTCGTGAAGATTAAATAGATGAAAAGCATCAGAGTAACCATGCGGCGGACACTTTCAAGCTCAAAGTACAAAATCTTTTTAAACATTCCATCTACTTGATAATTTAATCTGCAGCGTGGGGGGGGGGGGGGGGGGGAGCCTCTCTGCTGAAACTCATTGTGGCGATTTAAAATCAAATATCAAATAAAATGTATTTGGCCAGAAATAACTCATGCTTGTTTCAACCACAGAGCTGATCTTTTTAAAAAGGACCACACAAAGAATAAGACAATCCGGTAAAAGCGGTAAAATGCAGGCGAGGTCCCTGGAAAGTCTTCAAGAAGACGAGTTAGCAAATAAAAAACAAAAATGACACGTTCTGGTGGAAGGATTAAGAAATACATTCAGAAAACTATACATATGCACATATATAACTTCAGTACATTTCAAGCAAAATACATTTGTCAAAACTTTCAGTTGTGTGCTACAATAGTGATAGCAATGTCTCGTGCACAAAATAAGGCCTTTGTAAACTGAACAAGCCCTCATTTCCACAACAGAATCTCAAGGCAGGTTTATGCCTCTCTGACTCTCTCCTCCTCCTCCTCCTCCTCCTCCTCCTCCTCTGAATAACACCTCTCTCCTTACAAAAATAAAACACCTTTCCGACATTTCCGGCACCCGAGGGACGATTCGGGTTGATTGAAGATGCGTTATAAAAGTTCTGCACACATAAAGTTGATTCAGAGGATGCTCAACGTGGATTTTACTCGGCTGCTTCTTCGACTCATTTAAAACTGTCCGAATAAATCAAAACGACTACGCGAGAGACGGTGTACGTTAATCGCGTGTTACTACAATACGCTGTGATGTAAGGTGTTGATGCTCATATCCGAAAACCCTGATCCTTATATTCTCTTCACTGTGGTGCATGTTGCTTTTTGATAAATATTTACACATCTGTACAGCTTTCTCACATCTGGCTGCTCATTATTATCTGATCGAGCACTTTCAAGAAAGGCCATATGCAAACTTTCCATTTGGTTGAAGGATTCAAACGCCCTCCATGAAAAGCACTTCTTATAGAAAAATCCTTTTCTCCGTCTGTACTCTCAATCATCGGAAGGGTTCATGTTTTGGGCCACTCGACATACAGCCAAGGGACATATGCGGCCCCATAAAAGTATCAGAAATCACATGGAAAACATCAACAGCATTTTTAAAGAGCGAACCAATGACTAAACATTCAGCAGGGAAGCTACATGGATCCGGAAATCGCCTTTTAGATTTATTTTACGTTCTCAACCAACAATTTTCCCGTCCTCACACGTTCTGAAAGGAATGTGTTCAAATACCAAGAGTACAAGTCCTTATTTTAACATAAAGCCAACTCTCCACAAGACTACATACACATGAAAAAGGGTTCATAAAAGGGACTTCATACATTTAAAGATATTCTAAGGAATAGCTCCAAAACGTAAAAATAAATTGGAACCCAGACCGTTGTCTTCTAAAAAGCCTGTATACATCCCAAAATAAATCAATAATGCCACAGATCCCTTTACCCAAAGTCTAAAGAGCGTTATATTTGTCTGTGCTGACGGGAAAAAGTGCTTCTCTGTTTCCCTTTTTGAAGAAAGTGTGCTGACGAAACAAAGCGTGAGCTCCGAAAAACGCACAAGCTATTTATAGCCCAGCAGGAGCCGCTCTCCCACGTCCACCAGAATACAGCCGCAGTGTCTTTATCCGTCCCCGAGGTTCGCCGTCGGTCCCGAGTCGGACGGATTGAAAAACGTCTCTGAACCAAAGGCGGCGGATGACGAGATCAAAGTGGCGTTGGCAATTGTGCGAGGTAAACGTTAAAGAAGAAACTTAAGACTCTCTCAACAGAGGAGAAAGTTTAAATACGTCGCGTGTTACAAACGCATTGTAGTAAATGGTTGTTTTCGGAGCGCTTGTCGTAATCGTTTAGTTTTTTACTGTGCCGATGCTGCAAATATCAAAGTGCTTTGCAAACAAGTCACTTATTAAGATGCTAAAATCAGGGACAGCAGTGACCAGTTTCAGCTGCCCTAGCGGGCCTTGATAAAATACACTCTATACATATCTATCAATTCAAATCTTCAACAATAAACAAGCAGGTTGTCAAACCTGCATCTTTGTCATTCAAACGTAAATATATTTCATTAAAGTGCCATCTTAAAACACAAACACGCTGCCTAACAGGAAATATAAAGAGTGACACTACGGCACACAGCAGCTCAACAGTCAACCTGCTCCAATAGTAACACTGGCAATATAGTCAGCTGTTAAAAAAAAAAAGAAAGAATAGGAAGAATGATCTGGATTTCAATATAAGTTGACACATTTACAACAAGAGAGGTTACACAGAGAAGGGTGACCACGCAGACGGGTTAAAAGTGGCAGATGCCACGAGCCGTGTGTCATGTTTGCACGCAGACAGAAGCACGCTCGCCGTCTTCCTTCATCATGTAGAGTGTGAGAATCAAAAAGGAAACTAACCGGAAGTTCAAACATGTCGGAGTGCTGGTTTTAGAGGGAAGGGGAGGTGGGGGGGGGGGGGCACTCCAGCTGGACACGTTTCCCAGGAAGCCTTTGTGCAGTATGCCCGGAGTGGCGCAGCAGTCCTTTACTATTAAGCTTTTAAGATGAAGGATCCAAAATGTAACCTGGTGTCTTTTCCTCTAATGGGCCCTGACAGCCCCCCCCCCTCGAAGCCCCATCCTCCTACCCTGCTCAGTGCAATAAAGTGGCTCTATATCTGCTACATTGGTCGAGGCGATGATAAAATGATTGAAGCGCTTGAAAATGTCTCTACGAGGGTTGCAAGCAAACATGCAGAGTGCAGCCGATACATAAATACAAATAAGTATTTAGCTATCTATTTATATTTATAGATATATCTATATAGATATATATATCTATTCACACGCACACATTGTAATATAAACTCTGCCCTGTAGGAATTAAAGAATAGCAGTGTTGCTACCTCACATAACAGCCGTTGTGGGACTTCTCGAGCCTGTTATGTTTATGTCGTTCTCAGCTCACGCGTGTAGAATGTATGTTGTTTTTTGCATTACATCTAAGTCATTGACTCTGCTACATATCCATACTTTATATTGTATACTAGTTCACCGACGACCTATAGTAGTAACAACAATAACAATTGCTTTGGTTTTAAAAAATAAAGTTTTTTTCCTTAGTTTGGCATAGAGGGTTTAGAAACTGGCATCGGGGTCACATGACCCTGGGATGCGTCGCGCCACGATCTGGTACATTGGAATGCAGATTTGCTGTTTCGTGGTAAGAAATGTTGAAATGGGACAGTGGAAAATGCTACATGTTCTGGTGTACTACTAAGACTACTTCAAGTTGAATTTGCTCTGTTTTTCTCAACTAAAAGTACTGAGAAGAATGTGAGTATGTGGACGTAGTGTGTGTAGTCATGTGGATGACGTCATGTATTTGGACTTTTATGTCAAATGTGTCTCCCTCCACCGATGCACGTGGGTATATGTGTGTACGTGTATGGCTACCTGTCTTGCACTTAGTCGTTGTGTATATACAGTACGTGTCTGCATGACTCTGCCTTGTGCCCGTGCATGTGGGTGTCTACTAGGTGTCTAGGTGCACGAGGGGCTCGTGGCGCTCTCCAGGGAGGATTGGGAGAGGCGTCTGGTGAGGGGTCCGATGCTGGGATCTGCCAGAGAGGAGGTAGGGAACAGCTTGTACCAGCCGCTGACTGTGGCGGACAGGTCCAAGTCCTCGAGAAGGATCTGGGCCATTCCCATGAAGCACTTGTGGTCCATTCGCCCGTAATCCCCCCAGACTATTACCTAGAGGAGAGCAGAGAATACATTATACATGCAACACTAACATGTCACACCTTTTTTTAAAAGTCCCAGAATGAGTCATCTCAATCAGGCTTCATATGGGTGATGAGGACCTACATGAACACACAATTTCTGGCCAACACCGGGGCTTATTTGGAGAATGGTGATATCACAATGCACCAATCAGGATTTAGTAAGAATCAAAATCTGACGACAACCACAACAACGCAGTCTCTTTAAGTGGTACATTTTTAACAAACAATACTGTGAGACATATTTACGCTTTGATTGTTGCCTATTCAGTTGTAAATTGTTAATGTGACTGACAATTAAGCACCTTGTTCTCAGCGAATATAAAAATGTCCTGATTCCTGTTATGCAGTCCTGGACTAGAACTGAAGAGCTCCGTCAGGTGGTTGCGTCTACTTGTCATACCTGGAGGACTTTGCCCAGAGGACTCTCATCAAACAACAGAGCCTGCTGGTAGGTGGGGTCCAGATTCTTCTTCACTACTCTGGTTTTCTTCTTGGCCAAGCACAGGCCGTTCTCCAGCACGTACACCTTGACGTAGGTCGCTGCGGACGGAGCGACAAAAGACAACACGGTGAAAATCCCACACTTCCCAAGAGGCCGGATCAATGGAGGGACACCGCAGAAGAGGAAGTCAGTCCAGGGTACCTGGCATGTTCTTGGAGCCCGGCTTGGCTGTCAACCCTCTAGCCTGGTTGACCTCCACCTCCAGCTGCCCTCCTCTGTCTACCATGCCCACGTTGACGTCCCCTGCAGAGGCACAACGTACCGCGTTTAATGCTCCGACGGGAGGCCTGTAGAACCGGCATGGAAAAGCTGCAAACATGGTGCTGCTTGGTTACAGCTCCCTGAAGCTGCGATGGCCGATACCTAACTGCAGAGGGCCACACAGAGCCGCGAGAAGGTCCTCACCGGCAGGTATGTCGGAGCGCAGTGCTCTGCGGTTTCTCGCGAGCAATGCCCTTTCGCATGAAAGATTTATATCTCATGCAAGAATAACTTCATCATGCTGAGTGAATACACTAGTAATGTGCGGTATTTTTAGAGGCTGCTGCGCATCTCAGTTTGGTCTTCGGCTGTAGATTATCGTCTCTTGTCGTCCTGCAGATCAACATCTTCAATAACCTGCGATTGTTTTGACGTGGTTGAAGAGCCCTGAATCTCGCCCTTACCGCAATAGTTGTTGAGACTTGGTGTTTCCTGTAAATCATTCTGGAAGTGGCTGTTGTTACTGGAAGTGAGAGCGCTATGAAGTCGTGCTCGAGGCCACCGGAGATTCGAGTGCATTAAATGTCATAAAAATCGCAGGAAGAAGGAAGCTATGCTTGACGATGATGAGCACTTCTTTAATGGCTTACCCATGGAGGGCGTAGCCAGCGTTTGCCGGCCGACAATTTGCGCGGGCCCCAGTCCATCCAGAAAGTCGCTGAACTGGCTCTCGGGCCCCAGGCGTGTGGTGGGGAAGACGAACCTAAGCGGAAAAAGACAAGAGTGACGGATGCTGCATGCACGTGGACGAGTGGAGGGCCGGATGGTTTTGGGTACTCACGTTCCGTCGGAGCTATTCGAGTTGGTGCTGCCGTCGGTGGAGTCCTTGCTGCCCTGCCGTGTCACTCGGTTCCTCATCTCCACGGCGATGCCGGTCTCCGTGCTCCGTCGGATGGTGCTGCGAAGCTTCTTCGTCCCGCCGTCTGGGGGGGGGGTAAGACGACAGGTTCCGGCTGTAAGTGACATTCTTTCAGCAGCATGATCCACTAAGCATAATAATCAGGAAGAAGTAGAGCAATCCGATAAGTACCAGCACACCAGCGTCTGCTTGATGAGCATTTCACGGGGACACGCTGCCTGTACATTTAGGTGCAATTTGGTTTTGTGAAAGGTCGGTAGCTTGTCCTTCAGATATTACGATGAAGATGGAGCTTTCTAACTTACTAGATGTAAAGGTTAGCCCCGATAACACCCATCTCTCCACTATTTATTTTGAAGCAAGTTCACCCAGGCAAGGAAGCAATCTCACGTCATTTCCACCGGGACGTCTCGGCCCTCATGGAAAATCTTCCTCCACTTCACAGGTATTACTCTGGCGCATTTTGAAAAGAGTTAGAGCACCGTTTCACAACGGCTGCTGCGCAATACATTTTCTTGGGGGGACTGTTGAGCCAGACGCACAAACACTTCACTCGAGGAACGTCGCAAACTGCGCCGTGGGGGGGTGGTTGTGCTTTGCAGCTGTGCTGACTCCAGGAGAACGGGAGAAGAGCCAGAGAGTTGCTCACCACACGAGAAGCTTTCAAGGAATTATCTCCTGTAGCGGCACACTTCTGCCTCTGCGTGACTTGACGTGGTCCAAAGTGCTCCGTGGCTCCGCATGTGACACGGAAGGTTGTGCGATCATTCGTTTATCTCTTCCGTCACTCGCCATATTGGTCTCGCCTCTCCTCCTTACAACAATAAACAGAGTTCTCGAGGTCCAATGTGAGCAATGTGGGCTCACATCTCACAGAGGAACCACACGTGGATAATCGTTTCAGTAATTGTTCAAGCACACGATACGCTCAGGCTTTACAAATGTGATTAAAATAAATCCCCTTGAATTCAGGGAAATTAGAAAAAAAACTGACAGTTTGGTAACAAAGTAATTAGCTGATTCATCTAGAAAATATTAAATGTGTGTGCGACCCAAACCACCCAGCGGCCTGTGTGAATCTGAGCCTGAATGGTTGTTTATCTAGACCTACAGACGCGGAGGGGAACGTTCAGACTCCACACAGAAAGGCCGCTGGGTTTGAGTCAAACCGAGGACTGTAAAAAACAACGACAATGCAATACAAAAAATTCTTTCAACGTGATGATCTGTAGAGACACGTACAGACCTTCACACGTGCCACATTTACACTACACAGTCACAAGGGCAGTCTGAGCTCAGGAGGTGAAAGGTCAGTCAGGCAGCGGGGGACGACGGAACAGCCGTGGGTCCCTGCGTTGCCACAACTCGGCTTTACAAAGACCTCTAACGATGTCATAAAGCTTTTACAGACAGCTCAGACGGTTTCCTTTTTTTAAAGTCAATAGCGGTTGATTTACGTCTCCTGTTTGAGTGCAGCATCCTGGCGGCCGCTCGTGTCTGCATGGGCGGTCTCACGCCCCTCCTCTATAAGACCCCCGGCCGGCAAAGGAGACTTTTAACAAGCGCTTTGCTGTATTGTCGTCGGTTGAGCGCACGCCCAGTTACAGCTGTCCCACTTCATTAGGCGGAGCCACTCCGAGCTCGTTAAGCATCCGTGCCGTGCCTGTGTCTCGTCGCCATGACAACCACAGACACCCCGCATCCTTACCTTCGCTATGGCAATGAACACATAGCAAACAAAGCCACTTGATGAGACTCCGGGGGTCGGGCGGGGCGGGGGGGGAGGGGGGGGGGGGGGGAAGCAAAACAGAAGAACAAAGGGAAGTAAGTGGTGAGGAGAAATGCCTGAAGAGGAAGTTGAGAATGATGGGGTCACACAGATGAGAAGAAGGATGCTGGCTTCTATTTATAATCCTGCAGTCAGTGTGTATGTCTGTGTGTCTGTGTGTGTGTGAGAGAGAAAGAGCGTGTGTGCATGTTTGCAGCATCACATCCAGACAAACTCCACTGCCTACTGCTGCCATGACAACCCCCGCCCTCAGATCTGGACCCAGACAAAGCCACCTGAGACAAATGGCGCTATGGCGACAGCCTCCTCCCCCATCACTTTCCCTTCTTATATTTATAGGGGCAACATTTCATCAGGGATCCTGCACTTTGAGCAGACACATGGACGCACTGGTGTGAACTGAACTCTTCCAGACTCTTGATTAAACTTAATTACAGCTTTAAAACTGTGGAACATTCATTAACTAATAAGTGTGTACGATAACGGTATTCACGATTGAGGATCTGTCAAAATGACGTGTTAATACACACGGGTCGGACACTCGAAATGCATCCTTGAACTGTCAAGGACTTCATTCACCCAATTCCGTATCCACTTATGAAACTAATCCACACATACAGACACACACACCAGTGATCTCTTCCTTCCCATTTAATCCCCTCCTCCTCCTCCTCTTCGTCTGTGCTTTCCCTCCATCCGTTTCCATGGCAACGCGTCTGCATTGCACCAAGAGCCCCGGCTGGCGTGTTCGCTCACAAGCCTTTCCCCTCGCCCTGTGTCTCTCCTCGCTCGCATTGTCCTCGAGTCCATGAGTCGCACTCCTTAATCCTACACTTCTTTTTCCTTCTCTCACAACACTCTTCCTTCATTTCTATGTTTTCCAGCTGTTGGCACCATTTTTGTAAACATGTCCCCACTGATGTGCTTTAGATATGTCTGCAAAGTCTGCTGCACTTTCATTTCCCCTTCAGCGACCGTCCACCTCTATCACACTAACCTCCTTTTTCTTTTACCTCTGTCCCGTCTCATCTCAATTATTTAGCGAATATGCTCCTCTCCTTACTCCCCGGTTGAACCAACTTTTGTTATACCGTGTTAACATCAAAAGCACACGCACCCACCCCATTGAAGGAGTAATTAGAGGACGTCTGACAGATATTCCACAACATTACGTAAGGCCTTGTGCGCTGCCGTGCTCCATGAGAGGAAGTCTTTTCGTGTTACCAGGCTGTATGAAGTCCCTCCTTTTGGCTTCACTACGACGGCTAACGCTCAGCGATATCACAGGAATGTGACGCACGCTCTGAACTTTCTTCGTCCGTGCAAAAGCCCCCGGTGGTCATTGAAACGTCGGCGCAGGACGCACGCTTGGCAGTCATAACAAGGAGAGCGAGGGACGGGGGAAGACGACAGCGATGGGAGAAAGTGACGGATTAATAGCTTCAGTGGAGAGATTTAACAGCAGAAAGGTGCGATTACTGAACATGCCGACAATGCAGAAAAGAGCCGCACACTGTGACGGCGTGCACAATGGCACATGAAATACGGCTTTTCTCACCGTGTGTATAATGTGTGTGCGCGTAATAGAACATTAAAGCTGCGCTGACATTTGCAGAGACCACTGATGAAGCCTTTCTCATTATATGCCGTAATATGGAATGCTGTTTTTAGACTCCCTGGCTGCGCCGACATGCCTATTGGATGCACCGGTGACGACAACGATCCACCGTGCATAGCAACAGTAACTAAGCACGAGTGTTGAGATGAAAGATCTGTTGGGGTGTCTTCCCCGCCGGACGCATGCTGCTAAATTTGGACGAAAGGGAAGATTCAGGGTTGAAGAAGTAGGAAGAGATTAAGTATGAGAATCAGTGATTCGGAGCTACATTCATGTATTGTTCAGTTACATAAGATTACAGCCAGCGAGTCAGTAAAGTCGCAATTTATATGTTGTATAAAGCTGGAGACTAAAAAATGTCCATCTTTTAAAGCTTTATAGTAATAGTCAAACATGTTCATAACAGGATATTTCCCATTAGTTTGTAAACTTCTGAAGCCTCCCGTTTAGAATGTTGCCAGTGCCATAAAAAGGGGAGCAAAGTTACTTTTCGGTAAAACAAAATTATCCAGATACTTTATTACTACCCCCTTTTATTTGTGTGTACAGTTATTAGTGTTAGAAATTGTTTATGTGTTGTGGTGTTTTACCCTGTTAAAACGTGTTTGTTGTGAGTTATTCATTATTGCAAAAACCATGACTCAATCTTTATACACGCAGGACGAGTTGCTTTGACCGCTCCGCGCACGGCGGTGAGTTGTAAAAATAAATGGTGCTGCCTGCCGAAGAAAAACATCGCTGGTTACGGCTATACGGCAGTAACACGGTGTGTGAAAGGGAAATTTCATACGAGATATTTCTGTGCGCTCGCTTTTCAAACCACTTTGTTGTGGGCGGGGCCTAATTAGTTCATAGGTTCATTTGTCACTCGCTTAAGCAATCCAATCACCATTCAGCAATTTAATCGGATTCTGACGACGACTGATAAATAGCGTGGCCACGCAATCCCACCCACGCAATCCCACCCACGTAATCCCGACAGAGCAGGTTAAAGGAGTGTTGAAGGGCATCGTTGGACGTTTTGGAAAAGGACCTGATGGAGATGAGGCGATCACGGACACTCCCGCTACTCGCATGTGAAGCTGAAGCCAGCACGGCTTGGTTGCCTTGGCTTAGAATAAATACTGGAAAACAAGGGGAAACGGCCAGCCCCGTCCTGAAGTTGATGAAATCACACCACCATTATTATTCAACCTTTTATGAGACTGCAGTCCACTTTGCTCGAGTCCAAGAGTCATGCAAAAACAAATAAATGTAGTGGGGGAGTTAAGTGGAGCTTAGTATCCTAAGTGTTATTCTGTCTTTAATGATAACTTGTGGGAGATAAACAAAACTAATCGCCTCCTGTCGTATGCACTGGCAGTGTTGTGTGACAGGGACATTAACAGCTCAGGCAGGGACATAAGCCAGGGAGAGGTCAGTGCAATGCGATTAGGCTTTCTCAGCACCGCAAAGGAAACGATTCTAGAAATCTAAATCCTCTCCTGTACGGCAGGATGTCTGTCACGAGTTAAGATGCCACGCAGACTCCTGTCTAATGACAATTAATTACAATGAGGAAAAAAGTAATCCAATTCAGATGTAATTTCCTCTTGATTACTCAACTCGGAGGCCGATGGGCGGATTAGATGACCAAACAATCTATACAGAAGAAACG